TTTGTTCGTTATAGAAAAACTGTATTGTCAGTACTTGAATGGTTATTCGTAGTTATTTCAGTCGATGCTAGTAATCTACCTGTCTTTATTCTAGTATACTTGAGCATTAATCGTTAAATTTTTACAGCTCTGCGTAAGTAATACCAATTACATCTACTTAATGTCAATATATAGTTAGCAATTTCTATAATATGCGACGATTCATCGCTCTTCATGTCTCATATTCTAGATATTCTCACCTCATCATATGCATATTTCTTCTCTTATATACATAAAAAATCCATATCCTACAGCTATATCTATGCGATATACATAAAAATTTTCAATTTTTTTTATCATTGACTAAATCTACCCAGTTCTGCCTGAAGCAATGCCAAATTACAGCTACTCAAAATTAAGTGCAAACTTTACGATTTCTATAGTATACAAACATTCATCGCTCTTCAAATCTTATGCTGTAGATATTCTAATTTATCATATGCTTATCTCTCCTCTAATATACATAAAATTACGGAACCTACAGGTATGCTTAGCAGTCTAAGTTTTTACAATATTTTATGATCATTTACTGTTTGAAAACTAACCTATGACTCAACCATCAATAAGTTGTTTCCATTCTTAGGATAATACTTACTTCGACAATTAAAGATACATATTCGCATTCTCTTTTGCATATACGTATTTAGTGCGTTCAACACGTACTTTGTTTTTAGAACTGCATTATTCCTTGATGAATTAACTCAGCTGGTAATCAAAGGTTATGACACAAAGAAATCCAATTCATTTCATTAAAAGTGTTAAAATCAATGCGGATTCTATAGAGATGGACATAGGTTGTCTCCATAGCAACTATCGAACTTATTAATTAAGAGACTGCCTTTATTCCTTTAAATTTAGCCTGATATGCTAATTAATCCATTGAATTACATGGAGTAAATAGTGCTTATTTGAATAGTCTGAAATGAGGTAATTCGCTATATAATTATGGGACGATGGAGCGAACGAAAACTCGATAGTTTACGAGCAAAGTAAATCGTCATCTCGTAGCTATTTAAGGTTGAAATAAATCGAAAAAGTCGAATCTAACCCTTATAAAAAGAACTTAGATCATTCATCATCAACTAATCTACAACTTGATATTGTATATACCGTTCATATATAATATATATATATACACCTTAGCAAAGATTCCTATTTTCGATATGGCAAAAGTAAATAGGATCGACATTATGTCCAAGAATGCCAATAATGATCTAGAAGAAGAAACAACGATCTGTTATCGGCCTTTTAGGAAGAGAACTACTGATCATTCTAACAAGTTAAAATCATTACCTGGAAGACCTCGTGATAGGAAAGGCTCTGATTTAGTAGCAGGATCATTTTTAAGCTTAAGCTTAGCCATGACTAAAATGGGTGGACTTGATGTTCATGATGTGAGTCTAGGCATCTTCTAAATTGAATGATGACGTTAGTACTAATTCGTTTTATAGCGGTTATTTTAAAATTGAAAGATGTATAGATCTTGTTAAAGTTATGCCAGTATACTTTTTATGTTATTATTTACTGTGTAATCCAATTTTGGAAACTTAGCTGATAATTATTCAAAATGGAGAGATTACGTTTATAAAGAGCAAGTTCTACATCTCCGCGTAATATTGGAGATAATATTGCCTCAATGATTGAGTACTTTTAATTTAGCGTATAACTCCAAGATGAAGGACGTCATATATTTTAAGACGCTATATAGCAATCATCATGACGATATCTGTAATGTTAGACGGATAATGTAACATTAAAAAGCAATTAGCATGATTATATCTATAGCAAAATTTTAGATTAGGAGTATAGCTGTAGTAACACTTAATTTATCTCTCACTAACCTGAAAAATTCTCATAAACATCATCCCTAAAGTGAATAACATTTGAAGACTCTTTCCTGATTATAAATGAATTCAGCCGATCAGAAATAAGCAATAATTATTATAAATTATTTACCATATAGATAATCCGCCGTTTTAAAAAACTTCCGGTCATTTTGCAAAATCACATATTACACGATCATAATTATTTCGCACAGTGTCCTAGTATTTTGAAAATGACCGATTACATAAGCGTTTTGCATCTATAAACGAACAAATGCCAGTGCTAGCAGAATCATGATTCATGATATTTATCCATCATTATACACCATTAGTGAAAATAATTTACCTTTTTCTATATCAATAAGTAATTTTGACTAGAGAATTTTTAATTATTCTTTGTGATGAATGATATTCACAACTTCTTACAAGACAAAAATATCACCTCTATGAGTAGTCAAGTCCTAAAAATAACTGTTTAAGAACATATAAAAGATTATTATAATAATTTCGCTAAAATTAAGCTTACTTCTTTGGCGATTTCTATCGATGATGCCCATATTAAAACCAATATTTAATTTATATTTCGCCAATACGGTATGCAAGCAGCAATAAAAGGAAACATAGATGATATAAATCGAGCATTTAAGTCACGATTTTACTTAGATAGAATCAATTATCCGGATGAAAATGGCTTAACTCTTATGCATCTTGCAGCTATCCATGATCAAGGTGACGTTATCAACTGCTTAATGAGATATGGAGCAGGTATTATCAGCAATTACTATTTATTAACTGCGCAGCTAATTTTTAGGCTCCGAGCATTATTATATCGCTAGAAATTAAAATACAGTAATATGTCTCTTATTTAATCCAGAAAACATAGACAATAACGATAGCTATTGATGGTGATGTATAAATAATTTTAATGACGCTATATTCGTAAGTTCATAATTTGTGATTCACATATTAAAATCTATACTTTTGCATATCCTATACAATAACGTAGTCATTGATATCAGCAATGGGAATACCGATGAAACACCACTGCATTTAGCTGCAAAGCATAATGCATGTGCTGCAATCAAAGCTCTAGTCCAAAATGGTTCCATCATTGATGTTGTCGATCATAATTCAAGAACACCTTTGCATTATGCCTGCAACCACGGCTGCAATGAAGCTGTTGAGGTTATTATCAAGATACTCTATTCCTTACAGTCTTTCCGTACTTTTGCTCTCCTACAATTTACACGAACAGCGAAGCAATGGGAAACTTTACATTTTTTTTAGGCGATTTTGCATGAAGCCGACCTTATGAAAGTATCTCACACTATTATCAATGCATATGATGCAGAAAGGGCAACTCCGCTACATTTATCAGTATTAACTTGTTCTGAGGATGTCGACCGTAAATTGGTGAGAGAGATTGGAGTCTATTTAAATGTTCAGATATGTGCTTTAGATGAATATTTATATTCTATAAATTTAACTGTGAGGCTATGATATGTATTTACGAATTGTTATGAATCCTGATGCTAGATAATATAGTAAAAATACTTTTAAAGAATATTATTTACTCTTGAGATTTCCTGTATACTATTTGACTGTGTGTAATTCACATAGAGCGTAGATTAATAACTTACAATTCAACGTTATAAATTTGCCTCTTACTCTACGGAATATATGTATATGAATTATTAAGTAGCAATTACAATTCTATGTCTAACATTAGCTTCAATGTGGAGCTAATATTTACAGAAAAGATGTAGCTGGTAATACACCTTTACTGTTAGCTGCAAAGCGGCACAAGACTGGAATTATGAAGATATTACTAGAATTTGGTAAATGCTTAAATTTTGTCGAACTTATCTGCCACGAAACTATGATTTACCAAATTAGTTGCGGGTTGTATTTATGTCTAATACTGTTACGTACAGGTACAGTAGCATTAGCAAAACTGAAATGTTGTAGTGTACGGTACAGATGTACCTCGGTATCAGCTATTGTAATACATTGTACGCGCAGGTGTACTATTCTATGTTACTAGAAACGTAACAAATACCTTGAAATTCCTTTCTTAATCTTTCACTCAATAATCCTTGTTGCAGCTTTCGTAGCGGCAGCTATACTTTCATAAGCAATTTTTGAAATTAATTAAATAACATATCTTAGATATTGCAAAATTAGTAGTTATCTATTTTAAGTAATTGTACAATTATTAACAAGATAGGTGCAAAGACGATTCATGAATAGGGCAATTTAAGAGTAAAATGTTGTTTTTATTAATTGCAAGACAAAAGATATCTTCCTAACGGTACTACTCGAAATTATTTAAGAATGATGATTTAACCGTCTTGTGTTATTTCTATTCATTTATAGCACTAAATTGATTCTAGTGCGATAATTTTACCAGAAAACTAATCAAGATTGGAATATTAGAGCCAATAGACTATTTATTTTTACAGCGTAGTAATATCAAAATAATTTTGGTCTTTTATAAGTACTAATATTTAACTCCAACTGCATTAGTTAGCCAACCAATCATGTCACTATTTCCACTATAATATCACCGTACTTTACTGCCAACAAAAATTCTAATTTTTGTTAAGAAACAAGTAATGTCTAATTCTAAACTATATTAATTAGCTAACTCACATGGGAAACACGAATATGTACTTGTTCCAAACGAATTTGGTATGACGGCTATTCACTTGTCAGTGGCTTCTGGATGTATTGAGGTAAGTATTACCTTATGTTTGGATACATGGGCTTATTATTGATCGCGCTAAATTTAAAATTTACTTGCCATTCTGTTATCAGATTCTTCTTATCATGCTTTCATAAATATTTAATAATTGAGAAATAGAATGATAATCGTTCATTATTTTCTTATTTATGATTTCTCTTCTTCCATCAGAATATAGAATTATGTCTCGCTTTTGGGGCAGATGTAGAGTGCCAATCGGTAAATATTGAGATAAACTAGGTTAAACCACTAGTAATCACTGCTAAATCTTCGCTAAATTAGTGATTAATAATAAGTTCTATTATGTAGAACAATTTTACGGCATGCTTCACGTTTACAGTGCAAAATCGTGTTCAAGAATCATTAATATGAAGTATAGATTTTTCCCTATAATTCATATAGTCTGAGCTATTAACACCGTTGCATTTGGCGGCATTGAGTGGATATTATGAAGTTTCTGAAGTTTTAATCAATAATGGAGCCAAGGTCAATACTCCTGATTCGAAAAATAGAACATGTTTACATTATGCTGCTCTTAGTAATAATGTAGAACTGATGAATCTATTAATAAGCAACGTAAGATGATGCATATGTCAATTTAAAATTAGATTTAATATATCCGAATCGGACACAAATATTTACCGTATTTCAAATAGGGAGCTTTAATAGAAGTGATAGATATCAATTTACAAACACCATTAATGACCGCAGCCAGCCATGATTGCCTTGCCGCATTAGAATTTCTGATAAGAAATGGTGCTAGCACTTCTGGAAAAGATAAAGATGGCAAGACTTGCCTCCATTTAATAGCACAAAAGGAGTGTGTAATGACTGCGAATGTCATTTTAGAAGTTAGTTAGAGACATAATTTATGATGTTAATTGTTATATACTTATGCGGTCGATATTAACTACGAAATGTTTAGCATAGTGGAATAGATCTTGTCAACGTTCGTGATGCTGCCGGATGCACCCCGGCATTAACAGCGGCTGCCGCAGGAAGTGTTCTAGTAAGAAGATAAATCATGATTGGAACTGCTTTTTACGATAATTTTTTAATTTTTCTCTATCTATATTGATTTTAAATATCTTAAAATTGAGAGTGCAAATTAAATTAGATTGAGTAGATAACGCAAACTAAGCTCAAACGGTTAAGGATAGTATATTAAAATCATTTATAGATTTTGGGGAAATTGGTGAACCGGTTTTACGAATTTGTCAAGCGCCATGAGGATTACAATGGCAATAATATCTTACATTTAGCTGCAAAGAATAATCATCGCGACACCGTTAAAATTATTATCGATCATATGTCATTTATTAATACCAATACACACAATTTCCAAGGGCAGCAAGCTTTACATTTAGCTGCTATGACCGGCAATAATCGAGTTATGCATATTTTAATTAAACGTGGAGCTGATATTAATTCCAGGTATTTTTAGCTAAATTACGATATAAAGTAGATGATAGTATATCGTAGGCTTTAGATATCAAATTTTATTTCTCCCCATGTTATTATAGATAAGAGTAAGATATACAATCTACTTCATAAAATATTTGTTAATTTACTTTCCTGATAATATTCCACATGAATCATTGTAATATCTTGAGTCGTTCGTTTTCTTTTCTAGGGATAATTCCGGTTGGACTCCGTTGCATTATGCTGCACAGAATGGCTTTGAGACCTGTATCAAATTTTTAATATCTGATGAAGCCACAGTCGATACTTTCAACGAAGCAAAGGTTATTGTTAAGTAACGGTTGCTACAATACTTTACATAGTAGATGTATAAATACAGTAATCAGCTTCAATAGTGGATAAGCAAGACTAGTATAAATCTTCCGTTATCAATCGCAAAATTGGTTATGACAGGAGAGAGGTCTTAAAATACTTATTACTCTCCTTAGCGATGGCTTACACTACCATATATACAAATTAATTTAACAGTTATGACTCATGAAAATTAAAATTTCTAGTTTAAGTTTTTACAAATCTCTGTATCATGGGTAAGTAACAGTACAGTTTTAGAGAAAATATTAGGTGATAGCAAATTATACTCAGATCTTTCATTTAACGTATTAACGCAATATTATCTAGAAAACGCCATTACTGATTGCATGTGAGAAAGGAAATGTGGAAGTAGCTAAATTATTGTTAGACAACAATGCAGATCCATCTGTTAGAAACGACAAAGGCCAAAATTGCTTAGACATTGCCTGTGAACACCGTTATAGTGATATCGGTCTGGCTATAATTGAAACAAAATAGTATGTTATATCTTACCAATTTGAATATAACACGGAGATCACAGGCTTCTCTGTAAATAGATTGGTATATGTAGATCTTATGCTTCAATTCCGTTTTGCCAAGTGCATTTTATGCATGCTACATGAATGATAGCTGGGAAAAAGTCATGGCTAATAGGGCATTTGATTGCTACAATCCGATGAAGCGATTATTGGAACGTTTACCTCTTGTTGCAGAGGTAAAGACTCTACATAAGGAGTATACTCCATTTAATCACTTAAATCTGCTATGTAGTATGGTATAAGTAAATGTATGAATAAAGCATACAGTAATTGGTACATTCTTTAACGTAGAATTTAAAACTAGTCAAAGATTAGATGCCGAATTTTGATGATATAAGAAAACAAATGATCGATAACATTGACGGATTCATAATCTTTATTTTCTCTGTTGAAATTATTATCTGGCATATTTAAACAGGCCGTTATGGACAGATCAATTTCTTATACTAAAAGTAAATATGGCAAAGATGAATGGAAATAGGTAAGTAGTATTTTGAAAGTAATTTGATAAAGAATGATACAGTAAACTATAATGACTACAATTCAACGAACCAATTGGACCATTACCTGTGTTTAAATTTATGTTAATCTGAGATGACGCTAATGAGGTAATTATTGAATAGTTTGCTTTTTACAAATCTTAATATCTCCGAGGAAAAATTAAAGCTACTTCAGAGAACTAACACTACGATTCTACTGCCAGTTTTGTTCTCCCTGATATTTACGTACAATGAAGTTCTAAATACCGACGATCTCCTATCATGAGGAGAAACAGCAACATCGTTAGTTTCTATTAGACAAAACTGAACTGAAATTTTATTATAAAATTAGTCAATTTATAGTAAATCTACATAGACCTTAGCTGTCAGTACGTCGTACATAAATTAATATTGACACATTCCCAATTAAGTTATCTTAAGAACATTTGCCTACAGTACGACTTTGGATATTGATGATCTCCGATAGCCAGGTAGCAGTAAATCACTAGTCTCTCTTAGACAACACTTAACTCAAACTTTATTGGGACATTAGCCAATTTATATTTAATCTACATAAATATTAGTTATCAATACTTGGATATTATTGTAAAACTATACACTAATCTATTGCAAACCTGCTAACTGTTATCGATAAAGCATCATTAATGTATTTGTAGATAAGTGATCTTAAGAAAACTATGCCACGTCAGTTATATAAAAGTCACCCCTCAAAAGTGCTACATATACAATGTTATCTATACTTAGAATTAAGTTTAATTATAATTATAAGTCTTAAAATGGCTCACTGTGCATCCATTTTAGATTTCTAGGTACATATCAATAATCTTTTATCAGGCTTATGCAGTCAGAAAATAATACTCCTACATAATTTCTAAACTACATAATTCGCGGAAAATATTGTTTTCTAGTGACGTAAAAAACAGCATAGCTGAGCAGTACAGTACTATTAATTTCGATTAAAAGAGACAACATGAGATCGAATTATAGTACACAGTCGTCACATTCGCATTTTTTGGTGCATTAAAGTCTCATAATAAGAATTTCAATTTATCCGCGCACATGTTGTACTTTATTTTAAATCAAACTGCATATCGTTTGAACTTCCATTGCATTAAATTTAGGTGGCCTTCAACTTTACCTATCTTGAATCATCACCCGAAGATAAACATTTACAAGATGTTACAGATAAATATATCGCATTGAAGGTAAAATGTCTTGCAGGACACCTAAATATAGATTTGA